ACGGTAAGCGTGGGCCATAAAATAAATATTAACCCTTTGCACTCGAAGTTTTTTTTCATTCGTATTACAATCCGCGAGCCGCGACAGTCATTTGTCATCAACAGCGAAACACCCGAATACTAGTTTTTACGATTTGTTTTTGTTTTTATGTTAAGAAATGCAAATTATTTGCAACGCCTCCGTAGCGGAGCCCTCGAGTTTGAAGATCAATTTTAAATGGCTCCGCTCCGGCGCCCTCGAGTGCAAAGGGTTAATAGACCAGCGATCGGTAAAGTGTTAAGCGATCCCTAAATTTGCCAAAGTAATGTGTAAAGTTGACACGGCAACCATAGGAATCGCTTATCTTTGATCAGAGCTGATACAAATATATATTATGCCTTTTCTTTGTCAAATTCTGACTATGACCTAATGAAGAGAGTTACGTTAGACACGAAAGAAAGAAGAAGAAAAGAAACATGAATATTTTACTGCTTACATAAGAGGATTGCAGTAGGCTATCCCTTTAGAAGACCAAACGCCTTTTTATATGAAATGTCTATTTAAAAGTCTGCACTTGAAGAAATAAAATTTCCAAAATTATTAAGGACGATGGCCAAAAATTAAGATCAATATTCAGGTTAAATTTCACATCATAAACAAACTTGTTTCAGTTGCCCTTGATTTCGCACGAAGCAAAGGATATTTTTTTCAATTTTTACAACGGATGATGGATTTGTTGAGCAAAGAAATTCCATTAAATTTTGTTTACGAAATCAACTGATGAGATCCCTTCGATCCCATGCGATCCAAAAACAAGTGATCATTTAAGTGAATATCGTGTAAAGGATGAGTCAAGGCCGTAAAAAAGGCGCGCCAAAGTCGCTCAAAACTCGAAAGAATGTTAACAATTTTCGTTGCCGAGGTGTTCTGCGCTGTGAAGCGCTTGCGCCAAACCAAGCTGTTAGCACGCAATATTATTTGAGTTTGAAGATCGCTTTAAATAAATTTAAAAAAGAAAAAATTAAATTTTTCTTTCTTTATATATATATGTATATATATATATTATTTATTATATACATATTTATATTTATTGTATGTGTTTTAGCAATCTTTTGGTAGCCGTTAATGGGACTTAGAAAATGTACTTTCCAATTCACACTGACCATTTAGTTATATCTTTTGCGCGCATTTTTTTTTTTTTTTTTTTTTGTATGAAAATTTAGATATATTTTGTTTAGGGTCTCTAAAGTAATGAGCAAATACCCCGAAAAATAAGTAAAACTAAACAGAGTTGGTTAATTTAAAGCATGCATTAAAGAGGAAAATCTATTTTGCGAGTTTAGTTATTGCGCGCGCGCTTCACCAGTGACTTGTGAAGAGAAGCGTAGCGCAAAACTTTCCTTTTTTTTGGCAATTCGCAATCGAATGGTAGGGATTGGGTTTTCGAAAAAAAAAAAAAAGATTACAGCTGGTAAAGACGAAAAGACAAGGATTCTGATCTATTGCATAACTTAGTGGATAAGACAAGCACCTCCCTAGTCAACGCTCGGGGGCTCAAATCTCGTGTTGTCGACCATATTTTGTGGTAGCTGGCTACATAATTATTTAGACTTACGTTTGCTTGTTAGTAATTTAAGCGTACAAATATTTGAAACCAATTGTGAACTTTTCTGTTGCTTCTGATCGATCTTCTAATCGATTGTTCTTATCTACAATGCCAAATGTTTAAGCCGTGACCCTAAGGTCGTTTGTTAGTACTTTAAACGTAAAGAAAAATATTATAAAAAAAAACTTTGAAATGAGAAAAACTCTTCAATTTGAACCGTTTGCTTTGAAATTTACTGTTGTTTGTCATCGATGCTCACCGAACATCGAAGCCACAAAAGAACAAAAAATGACCGATGACCGAATCTTTTATTCTCAATACTATTATATCAAAAAAATGAGAAAAGAGAAAAGAAACTAAATTTCGACCATCGATAATAATGAGTGGAGGTGACAGATTTTCTTCAGATTTGCATATGGAAACCTTTCTGTCATACTTTATAAGCAGAAGGCAGAGGTGTTCTCAGATTACATCTTACTAAAGACATGTCCTTTGACCGATTAGGCTTAGAGTCCAGAAGTGGGCAGGTGGACATACTTAGATGAGCTGCGAATTTGATACTGCCCAAGAATATATTTACTTGATAGGACGTCTAAAGCTTCTCCAGAGTGTCGCAAACAGTTTGGCAAAATGACTAGAGCCTCATCCTTTGGTGATGAACATAATAAAAAAAAAAAAAATCTACTCGAATATGATAGAATGTTTTATATACATTACTTTTGTCTTTAAAAAAAGTCGGGAAAAATGGAATTAAATATTCTATAGCATAGAATTGTTTCTGTAAAACGCATGGAATGTATGTATATATATATATATATGTATGTACGAGTATATATATATATATATATATATGTGGAAATTTTTATCTATGTATTGTTATAGTTTATGCGTAACGAACAACAAATCCCGAGAGAAAAACTGTTTCCGATTTATATTACATTGTATTGTGCTGCAAACTCTAGCCGATTTCAATCACACAAGAACTTCTAAATTCTTCCCCAAACTTAGGCAAATAGTTCAATTTTTGTGACCCGAAAAATATAAGCTAAACAAATAAACATAGACAGACGAATTAATAAGCCTCTATTGATTTAGAATTTGATACTGATCAGTTCAAGCTTTACAAAGTCTATCGAGCTTCCTTCTAGGTGTCGTAAGCATTTTGGCCAAGAATATCTACCCTACACATATTATAAAAAATTTGAGAACAATATGTCCATTCCAGATTTTGGATTTGTCCAAGAGGACATAATTTTACATAAAAGTGCGATAACCTGAACTTCTACCGGGGAGTCTTGCGACGTAATTCCAAGGGAAAGTTTTGTCGTATATTTGGGCAAACTGTAAAAAGCTGGGAACTCACCTTAAAAGCTTTCGAATGTGCTAAAATAATATGTTGAATGTAATGGCGACTTGCTTACCACAAGCATCTTAAGAACGCATCAACCACAGACAAGTCGTTGGGATTGCCTTGTCTCACATTGATCAGAAGATTTATGCGCTTTTTCATGCGTGTTTATGTATTTAACAAATTGAAGAACCACTCTGGTAAGCATAGGCGTTAAGTTTAATATCTCTATCTTACTTTTCACGATTACCTGAAACAAAAACAAGTATGAACATTATAGCCGGGCAACGCCTATTACATACCCTACATCACTTCGCCTAATAGAGTTGTTCGTTCATTTTGGGTAATAATACTACAAAAAGTGCGCATTGTTTTCACGCATAGCCATAATTGTAATAATGAAAGCTTTGAAAGATTGAAAAGATTGGGATTCAAAAAAAATACACCTACGTGATCCAAATTTCCTACCGTTCATTTTTTTGATGAAACGCTACTATGAATGAATTTTCATCATAAAATATTAAAAATTAGCTCTTTTTCGTATGGACTTGCTATTCTTGGGATATCCTATATGTGGTGGGGTCCAGAAATAGATAGCTCAACTTAATCTTTTTATTTTATTAATCAATTAATCTTTTTTGGCATACAAGTGTTTACGTTTCCTGGGAATCCTTGTATGCGGTCATATCTAAAAAGTTGACCGACTTCGCCCATATTCGGTAAGGTAGGTTGCTTTATCAATTTACTATTATGAGCTAATTTTCATCATGAAATATTGGGAATTCTTATCATATAAAGCGTCGTAGAACGGGTCCAACGTTTTCAGGACAATGTGCAAAGCCGAAATACATGTATGTAGCCACTTTTCCGAGGCATTTTGAAAATTGCAAATTTTCTATATTCGGAAAAGTCGTTATATGGTAAGCTGTCGAAAAAGTGAATCGATCCCAATCATTTTCAATAACGTTCGTCCTTGGGTCAAAGTACGCCTGTGTACCAAATGTCATCAAAATATCTCAAAAAGTTGTGACCCACAGCTTGAACACAAAAATATGTGGACAAATATCATGTGGACAGAGGGACAGACAAGCTTAGACCGATTTAGAAAATGATTCCGAATCGATCCGTCTCCTAAATGATGGGTCTTTCTTAAGCCATTCTCGGTGTTACATATGTCCTCACTAACTTAATATCGGCGTAGGGTATATAAACAAAAAAAAAATGGAAATAGACGGCCGCCAGACGATTAAGTTCACTCATTGTCCTGCATTGACTGGCAATATATTTTATGACACGTACACGACTTTGGAAAAGCTTTCTATCATGTCTAGGCAACCTCAGCCAATCTATTGTGATGAGAATTTTCAAACAACTTCATATTCATATTTTCACATTTTCCACTTTGCTTGTGAAAACGCGGTTTAAACTCCTCCTTTTTCATAGTTCTAAAGTAGTCGAAATAAGCCAATGGCAAAAATTGACTGAGACTTTTATACGAATCGAAAATGTCTATGCACTTTATTGCATCTATGATGCGTATTGAAGCGGGCTAAAAATAATTCACTCCTACTCTCCTGGTGTTGGATAAAAAAAAAAAATAATAATCTAAATAAAGTTTGTTGTGTGGAGATTTAGTAAGACAAGCAATTGTTAATTTTTCTCGTGTGGCTTTTCCTCCTATATAAACTCTAAAATCTAAATATATATGCGTTCATCTTTTTTTCTATCTTATCTAATTTTCTAATGGTTTATTGATCGTGTCGCGCCAGCCAAACTCACAAAGCATTTTTGTGCTTTTTATAATAGATATGTATTCTTGTATGTCTGCCTGTTGCATGCTAGAGCAACAAACTATCGTCATTCGGTATTCGTTTTTAAAAACACACAAGACGAGTACTTTTAATAATTATGTATATACATATATACATATATATGTATTTTGTATGCATGTATGTAGTAGTGAGGATACTGAGTGCACACATATGTTTTTAAAGTTATTTTTGTGTGGTGTGTGCGAATGATGAATTTATGAGGCCCGACAAAAATGCTTCTTGTATAGTCAGTACAAAGCAAAACGATCAGTTGAGTTTTATGAGTCGAGTGGATATCAAGTGCGTTCTCTCTCATTACTAAGTCCAGGAATCATTAATAATATCTTAATTAGAAAAAAAAAAAACATTAAAGCAAAAATTAAATATCACAAAATTATTATCAAAGTATTTATAAACAATAATAAAAAAATCGTTTAAAGAAAAAGGATTTTCTTAAAACCAAAGTGTACAATAAAATTAATTTTTATTAAAAAAAAAAAAAAGAGAAAAAAAAAAATTCTTTTTTTTATAATATCTTAAAAGAAAACCTTTAGCAATATGAGAGAAATTGTTCACTTGCAAGCCGGTCAATGCGGTAATCAAATTGGTGCTAAGGTAAGTTTAAATTTATTATTTATTTATTTATTTATTTTTTGTTTTGGTTTTTACTCAATGCTCAAATTCTGTAAAATGTGCGCAGTCGCAGCGGTTTGGTTTCCTTATTTTGCTAAAAAATGAACAGCGGTTTTTTTTTTTTTTTTTTTTTTGTTATAAACATTTTTCTTTTTCTTATTATATTTGGCTTTAATTGTGTGCCAAATTAAAAGTTAGTGCGTGACTAAATGGTAGCAAATAAATGCGTACGTCATTTAATTTGTAAGTCAATTAAAGTGATCTATGAAACTACGCAGAAAAGTTCGAACCTTACCGTGTTTATCTCATTTATGCATTATTCTTAAAATTGAAGTGATGATGGAAGTAAACCCCTACATAAACATTTATACATAGAGAGAGTTTGCCTGAAGATTTATTATTAATTTTTTAGTCCTGCAGAAGAAAGTGATGTATCAGTTAAGCTTTCAATAGTTGTCAATGCGAATTTTTGTGCATAAATTTCGATGTCTTTTGATGTCTTCAGACCAAGTGCTTAATTTTCGCTTGCGGAGACTGTTATCGAAGCCGGTAGGAACGGTAGCGTGTTTATTTGATCGTTCAAAAATTTAAGATACCGTTCACTTCTTCATACAGTTTTATTAAGCAATTAAGGCTTTAATGAGACATTTATTCTAACGAAAAATTCGCATTCATTAACGATTAACTTCGATAAAATGTTTTTTTTTTTTTGGTTTCTAACATATTACTCAGCAGAATACAACACTGCAACGAATTTAATATGCTTGTACTTCAGCGTAGGTGGTTAAAAAAGTAATTTTTCTAGAAAGCATCCAGCGAAAATGGAAAACCTTGTTCATAAGGATCCTATACTAGCCAGTCTAGAGAACAATGAACCTTTACGATGCAAAAGGGTTTTTATGAACATTCATTTCATTTATCTACATTAAGGGTAAAATAGCTCTATTCCTTTTGTTAGGATACGAAATTTCTAGATTATTCATACCTAGTCAACAAGCAATGGGTTAATTAATTGGTTTCAAATGGGTTAAATTATTGCTGAAAAGTAGTAATGAATGCTCAGATTTCTCATTTTGATCAAATCCAACTTTCATGGCTATTGAAATAAGTCTTTGTTACATTTTCTCAACGCAAGCAAAAATCACAAGGACAGTGGTTGGATACTTTAGCTGATAAGACAATCCTGCCTTTAAAATTGTAGAAATTTTTGATATTTTTTTTTTTTTTTTTACCAACTTACACGTTTCGTTTATTCTTGTAAAACGCATCTAAGGACTTTTCGGCAGCTTTCACCCAAGCCAAATGCCATAGGTAAATTGATGCATCATGAATTAGCGATAAATGAAAATGCAAATTTTTATGATTATATCGGCCGATCTACATATTAATATGTATTTCTTAGTAATTCAAAGTGACTTTTAACTTCTACTCGTCTGCTCATTACCACGAAAGAACGTAGAAGGAACAAAGCAAGCATAGGGATCAAATGCTAACCGAATAGCTGAGTATATTGAGTGACCTGACTGACTGTATTTCCTCTAATGGGTTGAACCTTAATGGTATATAAAATTTGAAAGTTTTAACTTCTTTTTAATACCAAGTATTAATTTCATGAGTTTTAACTGTTTTCGAAGAGAAACTTGAAAAGTGTTTAGCTTACATTTTACTCTTAAGGTGTTTATAATTACAAAGAAAAAGAATAAAAACCACCAAGCACTTGCACGGCTTAATTAACATGTATATGAGTAATGTCCTAGCATTATCATCAAGTTAACATACCCGTCTAGCTAAGCATAACATCTAACCAGTTTTATGTACTAGTTTCCTTCGCTGATAACTGATTGATTGAAACTGATGTCAGTGATAAAAGAATTGAAAATGTTGACTCTCGCTACAAAATCAAGGTCAAAATAAAAATAAAAAAAAATAAAAAAAAAATTAATGAAAAATTTTTCTTCTTCTTCTTCTTTTTTATATCTTATTAACTTGTAAGAACATTTAAGGAGATTTTTCGCTAAAGTAAAATTAAGTGATTTAAATTGATTTAAATTAAAGGTTAGCCAAAGCCCAAGACCTTGAGAACTTAATTAACTAAAAATAAATTTCTTTAAGATAATTAATAAAACTTTTTCTTTCATTTTCAAGAATATTTAATTTATACGTCATCTACGGTATCGTCAAAGTCAGACCACTTCAGATAACAATTCTTACTAATTGTCATTTTCAGTCATACTTTACTTAAATTAGATAAGCAAACCGCAAAAGAGAGATGAGACATTTCCTATTATTTGTAGAAATAATGTTTTTTGAAAAAAAAAAAAAACTTTTGCATGAGATTAATGATTCATATGATAAGTGAACTGTGACTGTGTAGTCAAATGGTCAGTGTTGAATCGACATTTCTTAGAAACTTTTTATGCGTATGTTATTATAATTATAATTATTCTGTTTATAGTTTGTATTATGATTTCTTTGTGAAAAAAAAAAAAAAACACTTTATAAACGAGGTTACATATGGTGTGAAGAAATTGTAAACAATTTCAGTTATAATCCATAAAGAGGAAATTTTATATGGCTGAGCTGAATTGTTTCTGCTCTTTTTTTTATCGCTTTATACGTAAATGTCGCTATACAACAAAAAGCTGATTACGATTAAGTTGAAATACATCCAAATACAATATAATTGACAAAGAAAATTCTAGTTAGAGAAATTAAGAAGGAATTAATTCTACAAAAATCCAGAACCAAATAAGTGAAAGAATTTAATAGCGTATAGAGTAAAAGGAAAATATTACAAATAATAAGATTATTTGATATTTCCTTTTTACATTCAATGCAGAACGAGTTGATAAATTTTATATTCCTTCTCCGAGAAAAGAAGTGTTGCAATAATGTCATGCTCACCGAACAGTGCATTGGATTTGATCAATGTCTTGCTGAGCGTAATATGCGGCAACAATTGAATCAAGTTTGTTTGTCTATAACTATGTTTTTCTTCTCACTGAGGTTTGAAAGCAAAAACCAAATCATTTTCTCAACCTACTACGCAAAGTAGTGCCAAAGTAAAGTAATTGGCGGATTGTTATGTCGAAGGCTGGTGCTATCCTTAAATCATATATGACTTACTGAGTGATGCCACTCATCATATAGAAGTTAATGGAGGATATTAAATGCATCGATTATAATTTCTTACAACCTACTACAGCACTTCTGGTAGGTGTTCTATGAAATTTGTGCAGATGTGTGCAACCCGCAAAACACGTTGCGATGGTTTTGTCTTTCATTAGCCCAATCAATACAAAATCATTTTCTCAATCGATTGAAAGATAGTTGTCCGTCTGTCCATTTTTATGTCCAGTGTACAAGTTGTTATTTTCAAGTTCCATTGATTGAATTTTGGTGTCCTGACTTGTTCTGGATTAGGGACGAACCATATTGAAAAGGAATCGGATCGTTTCGTTTTTGCCATCACTCTCCACAGCGAGAGCTATTATGAAAAAGTCGCCTTATGAAGAATAGTTGCGATTTTTCATGTTTCTCCATAAAAATCATTGCAAAAAGTTATATTTCGGTATATTAAACATATGTAAAAGTAAAAACAAAATTTCCTTTTATATGTCATTATGAATTAATTTATAAAATTTTATGATCGGAATTTCTCGGGAAGAGCAATTAGCCATAAAACTTTGCAGTGTTAGGTTGAACTTGCACTATTCACATAACTATTCAATTGTCATCTGTTCTCCCAATTTGTTCTTAGGTTGGTGTTCCTATCACGGTATCGGTAGAGGTTATCTTAAGCTTAAAGCCCTTAACTGAAGCACAGTATATACGAAAAAAACTTCAAAATCCTAATCTAAAAAATAGTATAACTGGTCTTAACAAGCAAAAACACTAAATTGAGACAGGGCCCAACTGTAAGTGTCGTTATATGGGAAATCGTCGAAAAAGTAACCTGATCCGAATCATTTTAAGAAGCGTCCATCCATGTAGAAAAATGAGTGTAAGTGTACCAAATTGCATCAAAATATCAACTTGTAGGTTGTACATAACAAAACAAGACGGACAGACGGACAGACAATCATTTCCTAAATCGTTCGGTATAATAAAAAAAAGTGCCTTCCTTCTAGATATTGCATACATTCGCACAAACGTAATCTGCACTCACAACACTAGACAAGTGCTGTAGAATATAAAAAGCAATTTCAATAATTTCCAAGCGTTGTCTCACGCATGACAAACTTATACTCCCTTCACTGGTATATATTATAGTACGTTGTGTTTTGATTAATCGCAAATATATATATATATATATATATATAAAATTCTTATTTTTCTCATATTATTCTTGGACAAAAGTAGAACAGAGTCAAGTTTATGTAGCGTTTAGCTCTTTACATTTCACATAATATGAACAAAGCGAAAGAATTTTAGTCACTCATCCATTTAATTCAAAATGTTTATCATTTCGTTTGATGACTTAATATTGGAGTGTGCTTGTGTCAACATATATATATATATATATATATGTATATATAAATACATACACATTTAGGTCTGCTTGCATATATGAATGCATACACAAGTAGTCGCATAAAAATGCAATGCAAATCAGTTTGTTGAGTGTAAAATAAATGAACATGTTATTGGGTATTGTCTTACAATGTGTAAAGCATAAGGGTTGAATTACATTAACGAACAAACATCTGCAAAACAAAAAAAAAAAACAAGAAAAGGAACAAATCTGGGAATATTAATATAGAATAAATACAATTAAAGCAGACTTTGTTTTTTTCTTTTTTTTTGCGTTTTAGAATAAACTATTTGCAGTTCATTTAATGTTTATCTAGCATTACGCAAACACTCATCGCATACCTTCCCACGTGCGTTTGTCACGTATAACCCCTTATTAACATTGACAAGCTTCTGGGCTATTGTTAATGCTAGTGCTTCTGTTCTACTGTACTTGTTTTTTTGGACCT